ATTATATTGAGACTGTAGCCCAGGTGTGGTGGCTCACACCTGTAATCCCAGCACTTTGGGAGGCTGAGGTGGGAGGACTGCTTGAGTCCAGGAGTTTCAGATCAGCCTGAGAAACATGGTGAGACCCTGTCTCTATAAAAAATACAAAAATTAGCTGGATGTGGTGGTGTGCATCTGTAGTCCCAGCTACTCGGGAGGCTGAGACAGGAGGATCACTTGAACCTGGGAGGTAGAGGCTACAGTGAGCTAAAACTGTGCCACTGTACTCTAGCCTGGGTGACAGAGCAAGACTCTGTTAAAAAAAACAATAAACAAACAAACAAACAAATCTCCCAAGACTGCATCGTTTTATCTCAAAATACGCATAGGGAAATAAAAGCATCAACTCTAAATAAGGAGTATTATTAAAACTGTTTTAGTACAAAACAGTTACAAATTCACTTTTCTAGCAGTAACTCAAGTTTCTTGTCTAAAGCTGTTCCACTAAATATGTAAGCTCCCAAGGGCAGGTGGTTTTTGGTCTGTTTTGTTATCTGCTGTATCCCCGCACTTCAAATAGAGTATGGTACGCAGTAGGTTCTCAATACATTTTTTCTGAATAATAAACCAGGTGCCGGGCACGGTGGCTCATGCCTGTAACTCCAGCTCTTAGGGAGGCAGAGGTGGGAGGACAGCTTGAGCCCAGAAGCTCAAGACCTGCCTAGGCAATATAGCGAGACCCTGTTCTCCACAAAAAGGTGAAAAAAAAAAAAAAAAAGGGCAAATAAACCAGGCAACTCTAGTAGAATTTAATATATATATATTTTTTTGAGATGGCGTCTCACTCTGTTGCCCAGGCTGGAGTGCAGTGGCGCGATCTTGGCTCACTGTAACCTCCGCCTCCCGGGTTCAAGGAGTTCTCCTGCCTCAGCCTCTCAGGTAGCTGGGACTACAAGTGCCAATTTTTGTATTTTTAGTAGAGACGGGGTTTCACCATATTGGCCAGGCTGGTCTCGAACTCCTGACCTTGTGACCCACCCACCTTGGCCTCCCAAAGTGCTGGGATTACAGGCGTGAGCCACTGTACCCAGCCCTAAATTTATTTTAATATGATGTAATTAATTTACCCAATTAGAAATCAGATTTTGTGTCGCCAACATAGGCCTTTTATGAAATGGTCCCTTCTACCATACAGATAGCTTCCATAGAAGGCACATCTTTCAAAAGCCTATGACCAAGTTTTAAACAAATGTTCCATTTTGAGAGGCTGAATCATAGTCGTATTATATACATATATTGGGGGAAAATGAAACCAATCGTATTTTCTCTAAGCTATCTATCCCTTGTATGCCTAGATATTTAGCAGGAGAAAATACAGTACAGTGGTTCTTGATTTCACTACTGATAGTTATGTGACTCTGGGCAAGTTATTCAACTTCTCTAGCTTCATTTATAAAATGCATCTTACCTTTCTCTTGGGATTGTTCTGAAGACTAAATTAGTCATTATATTTTAAATGGTTAGCACAGTGCTTAAAACATTATTTACGATAAAACACTTGAGTCAACAAAACTTTATTATGCTTTATTTATTTATTTTTTTTGAGACAGTGTCTCGCTCTGTTGCCCAAGCCAGAGTGCAGTGGCATGATCTTGGTTCACTGCAACCTCTGCCTCTCAGGTTCAAGCGATTCTCCTGCCTCTGCCTCCTAAGTAGCTGGGGTTACAGGCACCCACCACCACACCTGGTTAATTTTTGTGTTTTTAGTAGACACAGGGTTTCACCATGTTAGTCAGGCTGGTCTCGAACTCCTGACCTCAGGTGATCTGCCCACCTCGGCCTCCCAAAGTGCTGGGATTACAGGCATGAGCCACTGTGCCCGGCCAAAACTTTGTTACTTTTTTTTTTTTAAAAGATGGAGTCTTGCACTGTTGCCCAGGCTGTAGTGCAATGGCACGATCTCGGCTCACAGCAACTTTCACCTCCTGAGTTCAAGCGATTCTCCTGCCTCAGCCTCCCAAGTAACTGGGATTACAGGCTCCCGCCACCACACCCAGCTAATTTTTTGTATTTTTAGTAGAGACAGGGTTTTGCTATGTTGGCCAGGCTAGTCTCGAACTCCTGACCTCATGATCTGCCTGCCTTGGCCTCTCAAAGTGCTGGGATTACAGGTGTGAGCCACCGCGCCCGGCAACTTTATTATTCTTAAAAATTACCTGGCTATTTTTGACGAGTACTTCGGCTGGATCACTAGTGCTTATGGTCTTCAAGGAAAAAGCTTTCTCCTGTTTTGGACGGGTTTTAGAGGTATTCACTGGAAGCTCTTCTCTAATCTCTTTTTCTAATTCTTCTGTGTCCTACAGAGAAAAACAATCTATTAGATTATATAAATCATTCATTCCTCATTAATTAAAATCTATGGTGGTGTATGGCTGTAATCCCAGCACTTTGGGAGGCGGAGGTGGGTGAATTGCTTGAGCTCAGGAATTAAAGACCAGCCTGGGCAACATGGTGAAACCATTTCTACAAAAATACAAAAATTAGTCACATGTGGTGGTGTGCACATGTAGTCCCAGTTACTCAGGAGGCTGAGGAGGGAGGACTACTTGAGCCTGAGAGATTGAGGCTGCAGTGAACTGTGATCACACCACTGTACTCCAGGCTGGGTGACTCTGTCTCAAAAAAACACAAAAAACCCCCCAAAACTACAAAAACACAAAAATTAGCCAAGCATGGTGGTGCATTCCTTTAATCCCAGATACTTGGGAAGAGGCACAAGAATTGCTCGAGCCCGGGAAGTGAAGGTTGCAGTGAGCCGAGATCGCACCACTGCATTCCAGCCTGGTCAACAGGGGGAAACTCCGTCCCAAGAAAAACCACAAAAACACTTCACTTAACAATTTCAAGGAATAAAATGTTTATACATAAGTTAATTTTCAAGATAAATTAAGCTTACACAGTAGAAAGGGCAGACAGGAAATTCCTATTTTGGCCATGCCACAATCTAGCTACAAAATCTCAGGGACAGCTGGGCGCAGTGGCTCACGCCTGTAATCCCAGCACTTTGGGAGGCTGAGGCAGGCAGATCACCTGAGGTCAGGAGTTCAAGACCAGCCTGGCCAACATGGTGAAACCCTGTCTCCACTCAAAATACAAAAATTAGCTGGGTGTGGTGGCGCACTCACGCCTGTAATCCCAGCACTTTGGGAGGCTGAGGCAGGCAGATCACCTGAGGTCAGGAGTTCAAGACCAGCCTGGCCAACATGGTGAAACCCTGTCTCCACTAAAAATACAAAAATTAGCTGGGTGTGGTGGCGCATGCCTGTAATCCCAGCTATTTGGCAGGTTGAGGCACGAGAACTGCTTGAACCTGGGAGGCGGAGGTTGCAGTGAGACAAGATCTCGCCACTGCACTCCAGCCTGGGCAACATGGTAAAACTCTATCTCTACTAAAAATACAAAAATTAGGCTGGGCGTGGTGGCTCATGCCTGTAATCCCAGCATTTTGGGAGGCCAAGGTGGGCGGATCACTTGAGGTCAGGAGTTGAAGACCAGCCTGGCCAACATGGTGAAACCCTGTTTCTACTAAAAATACAAAAATTATCCAGTAATGGTGGTACATGCCTGTAATCCCAGCTACTTGGGAGGCTGATGCATGATAATAGATTGAACCTGGGAGATGAAGGTTGCAGTGAGCCAAGATCGCGCCACTGCACTCCAGCCTGGGTGACAGAGTGAGAGATCTTGTCTCAAAAACAAACAAACATCTCAGGGACAAGTCACTTAGTTTTCCCAAACCTCAGTTTCCTCAACTGTAAGGTAAAATTTACCCTATCTAAAAACTCATATAAGCTTTAAGATTTCCATTTTTTGAGGGGTATAAAAATTTATTATACATAAAGAATATCACCACTAACAAATGCAGACAGGCCAAGACACTATGGTACACAGGGTGGAGGACGGCTAGCCCTTTGGAAAGTGAAAGGTTTGGGTGGCGTGGGCCTCATGCCACTCCGATTAATCAGGAGACGGGAGGGCACATGCCAAACACCACAAGACATCAAGGCAGCAAGATTTCCATTCTTAGATTTTCAAACTTTCACGAAGTTTCAGCAAAATAATTCTAAAGCACATTATATGCTTAGGTATGTAAAGTAAACATGAACTAGAATATATTTAATAGAAACATTACTGTTTTTTTCTTTGGCAAATGCATCCATATAAAATGGAAGTTCTTTTTAACAAATGGCTAAGATGATCTTAATGTTCTTCTAACACTAATATTCTATTCTATGATATTTATTCAGTATAGTAGTGGGTTTAGATAGTCAAAATTTTCTATATATTTAGGCTGAGCAGGTAGCTTTGGAAGTATGTGTGTGAAGTCTGTAATCTCACAAAGTTTTTCAAAGTTTTGCAGTCTTACAAAGTCAGAAGACATCAATTTATTTCCATCCTAAGTTGAATTCAACAGTGAAAGACCCCATCAGCCACGCATGAACACCAAAAAGGACTTTGGGTCTGGTGCGGTAGCTTGCATCTGCAATCCCAGCACTTTGTCAAGGAGCCAAGGCAGGAGGACTGTTTGAGTCCAGGAGTCTGGGATAGCCTGTTTAACATAGGGAAACGCTGTCTGTACAACAAAATAAAAAAAAAAATTAGCTGGGCATGGTGGTGCCTGCCTGTAGTCCTAGTTACTTGGGAGGTTGAAGCAAGAAAGCAAGAGGGTCCCTTGAGTCCAGGAGGTCGAGGCTGCAGTGAGCTGTGATGAAGTCACTGTATTTCAGTCTGGCAACAGAATGGAATGTCTCAAAAAACAAACAAAACAAAACAAAAAGAAACAACAATATAACTTTTTTTTTTTTTTTGAGACAGAGTCTCACTCTGTTGCCCAGGCTGGAGTGTACTGGTGCAATCTCAGCTCACTGCAACCTGCGATTCTCCTGCCTCAGCTTCACAAGTAGCTGGGACTACAGGCGCCAGCTACCACACATGGCTAATTTTTGTATTTTTAGTAGAGATGGGGTTTCACCATGTTGGCCAGGATGGTCTCGAACTCCTGACCCTGTGATCCACTTGCCCTGGCCTCCCAAAGCGCTGGGATTACAGGCGTGAGCCACGGCACCCAGTCTAACTTTTTTTTTTTTAAGATGGAGTTTCACTCTTGTTGCCCAGGCTGGAGTGCAATGGCGCAATCTTGGCTCACTGCAACCTCTGCCTCTTGGGTTCAAGTGATTCACCTGCCTCAGCCCCCCGAGTAGCTGGGACTACAGGCGCATGCAACCACCCCCGGTTAATTCTGTATTTGTAGTAGAGGCGGGGTTTCTCCATGTTGGTCAGGCTGGTATTGAATTCCTGACCTCAGGTGATCTGCCCGCCTCGGCCTCCCAAAGTGTTGGGATTATAGGCATGAGCCACTGCACCCAGTCATAACCTTTTATTAGTAGGATATATGTGCTATGTACTCAGCATAGAACTTCATGGATATCTAATTCTCCAAACAACTTATGCAGTTATGTAACTTGTACAAGGTAAAAAAGAATGACAGAACAAGATTCAGAATATAGATCTGACTCTAAACCTAGAATACTCATTCATTGTATTTTTAAAACCACAGCCAACATTTTAAAAAGGATAATCAGAATACCAAAGAAACGTTCACGTTAATGACCTCTGCCAACACATTAAACATTTCAGAATACATCCTACAAAATTTCTTTTAACAGGAACTCAACTAATCCACAATCCACAAAATTATCATTAGTAAATACTCTAAGTCAAAGAAACTCAAGAAGAACTTGGCTAAAATGGTTTTCAGGTAGTACTACTAACAAAGGATAGATGTAACATTTCTCATCTCCCAGCTCCAGCTAACAAGAACAGCATATCTATCATATAGTTTTAGTTTGTTCATATCCATTGATCTTAACTATGTTACAACTTTAATGCCCATCCATTTTTACTACTGAAAAAGTAAGTGTTGATAATAAGCTTGTATTATTTACGAGGGCTTGTATTTCCCACAATAAAAAATAACTGAATACAAATTTCTTTAAAAAGCCATGTAGAAACTTCTTCCAAAAACAGTAAGTGGCTGGGCTTGGTGGCTCACACCTGTAATCCCAGCACTTTGGGAGGCTGAGGTGGGAAGATCACTTGAAGCCAGATCACTTGAGACCAGACCAGCCTGGCCAACATGGTGAAATCCCCTCTCTACTAAAAATACAAAAATTAGCTGGGTGTGGTGGCTCATGCCTGTAATCCCAGCTACTTGGAAGGCTGAGGCAGGAGAATCACTTGAACCTGGGAGGCGGAGGTTACAGTGAGGTGACACTGTGCCACTGCACTCCAACTGGGGCAACACAATGAGACTCCGTCTCAAAAATAAATAAGGCTGGGTGCAGTGGTTCATGCCTGTAATCCCAGCACTTTGGGAGGCCGAGTTGAGCGGATCACTTGAGGCCAGATTACCTGAGACCAGCCTGGCTAACATGGCGAAAGCCTGTCTCTACTGAAAATACAAAAGTTAGTCAGGCGTGGTGGCATGTGCCTGTAATCCTAGCTACTTGGGAAGCTGAGGCAAGAGAATCGCTTGAACCCGGGAGGCAGAGGCTGCAGTGAGCTGAGATTGCACTACTGTACTCCAGCCTGGGCAACAGAACCAGACTCTGTCTCAAAAAATAAATTAAAAAAAAAAAAAGATAAACAAATAGAACAGTAAGTAGGAAAAACTACTATGTGGTCTATCCCTAGAAATTGCGGCTCCCTGTCTCCTACATTTGAACAATTAATTACAGTTATAGTAAGGAATACAAATATTTTAAGAAGTTATAATGTAACAGTATTAGTGCTTTAAAAAAACTAATATGTTTCTAATAATCTGATACATTTGAAATTAAAATACTTTTTTTTTTTGAGACAGGGTCTTGCTCTGTGACCCAGGCTGGAGTACAATAGTGTGATTTTGGCTCACTGCAAGTTCTGCCTGCCGGGCGCAAGTGATCCTCTCACCTCAGCTTCCTGAGTAGTTGGGGCTACAAGCGTATGCCACCATGCCTGGCTAATTTTTGTAGAGACAGGGTTTTGCCATGTTGCCCAGGCTGGTCTCAAACTCCCGGACTGAAGCAAACCTCCCACCTTGGCCTTCCAATGTGCTGGGATTACAGGTGTCAGCCATTGTGCCCGGTTAAAATTTCATCTCTGACTTCATTTTTAGTATAATTTACTTTTTTCCCCCCAGATAGGAGAGATCAAAGAAGAAGAAAAAAAAGAAAATGTATGAGTGATGGAAAGAGAAAATGTCTGTTGGGTAGCTGTCAAAAAAGAAGGAAAGGATACTACTAAGTGAAATAACCAGCAAACTCAAAGTCAAGTGAAAGACTCCACTTGTTATACACATGGTTTTTCTGTGTGCGCTAAATGCTACTTTCCAGTTACTCAAAAGGAATTTTTGTATGTGTAAAATACTGTATCTCTTTTCCCATTTCACCATTATATAATTAAAAAATGCATGAATAATTTGGAATTTTACTTATTTTTGACTTTAGCAACACCTTTAACATGAATTTTTTGAGCAATAACATTTATTACAATAAGATGAATTGAATATGTAAAACATTCCATGACTTTCCAAATAAACATGATGTCTCATACTGTCTTTTAAAATCTCTATATATTCTTAGCATCTGTACCTCATCTTTTCACATTTTAAGCAGGAGGTGCTTAATGAATCCTTGTTGTTTTGACATTTTACCTGTGCGTGAGAGTTATCTTCGCCTTGCTTCTTCTTTTTCTTTTTTTTCTTTTTGGATTTCCCAGTTGGAAGAGCTCCCTCTCCCTTTTCTTTATCATCATCTGAGACCTTAGGTTAAAAGCAAAAATATTAAAGAGAACCAAATGATTATATTTCCATTATTTAGAAAATTATTATGAAATAATTTCATTCATTAGGTACAGTCTTCGTTTCCCAAAATCTAAATAAAAACTAGTAATAAGTAATAAAACGGATCAAGAACTACCTACTTAAAAAATAGCAAAATACATGGAACCTCATTCTCTCAGTGTGTCTATGTCACCCATCACTCGCTGCAACACAGAGAGCTGTGTAAACTTTAGTGTTTTAAAAACTCACTGAATAGGTAATTCTATTTTGAAGTTCAAATGTAGTGCAATTTGCATTAAAATTTATCTGACCCTGTTAAGAGAATGAAATAACAAGCTACACAATGGGGGAATATATTTGCAAGCCATATAGTTCCACCCATGGAACTAGTATCCATACAATATAAGGAACACTCAAATTAAAAAAAAAAAATCCCCTTAGAAAATAAGCAAAAGACATGAACAGACAAATGTTCTTTCACCCAAGACCATACACAGATGGCAAAAAAACACATGGAAAAAAGCTCAACTCCATTTGCTATTAGGCAAATGCATATTAAAACCACAATGAGTTATCACTATACACCTATTAGAACTGCTAAAATAAAAAACAGTGACAACTGCAAATTTAGGTGAGGATACAGAAAAACCAGTTTCTTAAAATACTAAAACATGCAACTATCATAATACTCAGAGATTGTACTCTTGGGCATTCATCCTAGAGAAATGAAAACTTATGTTTAGACAGAGACTTCTGAAAGCCTACATATTTAGCAGCTTTATTCATAATAGTCCCAAACTGGAAAGGACCCATATGTCCTTCAATAGGTAAATGGTTAAAGAAACTGAGGTACATCCAGACCATGGAATATCACTCAGCAGTAAAAAGGTACAACTACCGATACATACAACAACCTGGATGAATCTCCAGAGAATTATGTTGAGTGAAAACAAAACAAACAAACAAACAAAAAAACATATAAAGGCCAGGAGCAGTGGCTGAAGCCTGTAATCCCAGCACTTTGGGAGGCCAGGGCGGGTGGATCCCCTGAGGTCAGGAGTTCAAGAGCAGCCTGACCACTATGGTGAAACCCTGTCTCTACTAAAAATAAAAAAATTAGCTGGGCCTGATGGCATGCACCTGTAATCCCAGCTACTCGGGAGGCTGAGATGGGAGAACTGCTTGAACCCAGGAGGCGGAGGCTGCAGTGAGCCGAGATCATTTCACTGCACTCCGGCCTGGGTAACAGAGCAAGACTCCATCTCAATCAAACCAACAAACAAAAACCATAGCAAAAGGATATATACATACGTGTGTGTGTGTGTCTCTCTCTCTCTCTATATATAATATATAATTCCATTAATAAAACATTCTTGAAATGATAAATGTTCTGTATCTTGATTGCATCAATGTAAACATGCCACTTGTGAAAAGGTAGTTCCCTCTTATTCGCAGTTTTTCTTTCTGCAGTTTCAGTTACCTGCGGTCAGCCTCAGTCTGATATTAAAGTACTTTGAAAGAGACAGAAAGTGAGAGAGACCACATTCACAAAACATCTATTACAGTAAATTTTATAACTGTTTTATTTTATGATTACTGTTGTTAATCTTTTACTAATTTACAAATTAAACTTTATCAGAGGTATGTATAGGAAAAAGCATAGTATACGTAGGGTTTGACACTGGTTTCAGGCATCCACTGGGAGTCTTGGAATGTATCCCCTGTGTATAAGTGGAGGTGGGGAGCGGTGGGGATGGCTACTGCATGACTGTACAGTATTATGGTTTTTTAACATGTTACTACTGGAGAAAACTGGATAGAAGGGGTACAGGGGATCACTCTGTTTCATTCCTGTCTGGTTTTGTTTTGTTTTTTTTTTTCAAGACAGCGTCTTGCTCCGTTGCCCAGGCTGGAGTACAGTGGTGCAATCAAGGCTCACTGCACAGCCTTGACCTCCTGATCCTCTTGCCTTAGCCACTTGAGGAGCTGGGACTATAGGCTGATTTTTCTGTATTTTTTTTTTTTTAAATATTAGAGATAGGGTCTTGCTATGTTGTACAGGCTAGTCTCAAACATGTGGGCTCAAGTGATCCTCCTAGCTTGGTCTTCCGAAGTGCTGGGATTACAGGCGTGAACCACCGTGCCTGGCCTGTATTATTTCTTTCTTTCTTTCTTTTTTTTTTTTTGAGACAGAGTCTCGCTCTGTCGCCCAGACTGGAGTGCAGTGGCCGGATCTCCGCTCACTGCAAGCTCCGCCTCCCGGGTTTACGCCATTCTCCTGCCTCGGCCTCCCGAGTAGCTGGGGCTACAGGGGCCCGCCACCTCGCCCGGCCAGTTTTTTTTGTATATTTTAGTAGAGACGGGGTTTCACTGGGTTAGCCAGGATGGTCTCGATCTCCTGACCTCGTGATCTGCCCGTCTCGGCCTCCCAAAGTGCTGGGATTACAGGCTTGAGCCACCGCACCCGGCTTGTATTATTTCTTGTAACTGCATTTGAATCTACAATTATCTCAAAATAAAAGGTTTAATTTAAATAACTGAATTTGAGAAGTCATGTCATTGAAAATAGCATTCTGCAGGACAAAAAAATACCTATCAAGTTAGCACTGTTATGTTAATATTCATAATGATGCAGAGGCCATGCCAATCTTCTTTGTATCTTATCTTTCTTTTTTTTTTTTTTTTTGA